TCTAGCTGTCACCCCTTGGACTAGTTGAAGTTTCCGAACAGTCTTCAAAGGCAACCCCACGTAGAGCGCGTTGCAGTAATCTAGTCCGATGTTCTGCTGAAAGTTGCACTAGGATGTTTATCCTTCCCACACTCACTCTCTGTGCCAACCAGATATGATTCCAAAGAGCTGCCCAGTCCTCCAGAGCTCCTTTTAGGGACTGCAGTGGTGGGGGAGACACTTGTCAAGCTGGTTCACTAATATCTCCTCAAGGTGCCATCCCATATTTCTCCATTCTTTACACAGAGGTGAAGCTATGGAACTGATGCCTTTGCTTTCCATTTCAAACGATGTAAGCCGCTTTGAGGTCCGCTTGTTCGACACGAATGGAAGGCAGTGAAACTGGACTTTGCTGGCAATTTCCAGCCCTGAGAAGCATTACTGGTGGCTTAGCCAAATCATAGAATCATAGAATCATAGAATCAAAGAGTTGGAAGAGACCTCATGGGCCATCCAGTCCAACCCCCTGCCAAGAAGCAGGAATATTGCATTCAAATCACCCCTGATAGATGGCCATCTAGCCTCTGCTTAAAAGCTTCCAAAGAAGGAGCCTCCACCACACTCCGGGGCAGAGAGTTCCACTGCTGAACGGCTCTCACAGTCAGGAAGTTCTTCCTAATGTTCAGATGGAATCTCCTCTCTTGTAGTTTGAAGCCATTGTTCGGCGTCCTAGTCTGCAAGGAAGCAGAACAAGCTTGCTCCCTCCTCCCTGTGGCCTCCTCTCACATATTTATACATGGCTATCATATCTCCTCTCAGCCTTCTCTTCTTCAGGCTAAACATGCCCAGCTCCTTAAGCCGCTCCTCATAGGGCTTGTTCTCCAGACCCTTGATCATTTTAGTCGCCCTCCTCTGGACACATTCCATCTTGTCAATATCTCTCTTGAATTGTGGTGCCCAGAATTGGACACAATATTCCAGGTGTGGTCTAACCAAAGCAGAATAGAGGGTAGCATGACTTCCCTGGATCTAGACACTATGCTCCTATTGATGCAGGCCAAAATCCCATTGGCTTTTTTTGCCGCCACATCACATTGTTGGCTCATGTTTAACTTGTTGTCCACGAGGACTCCAAGATCTTTTTCACACGTACTGCTCTCGAGCCAGGCGTCCCCCATTCTGTATCTTTGCATTTCATTTTTTCTGCCAAAGTGGAGTATATTCTGTTTCTGTTGTATTCATCGAGGGCATCTACAATCCAGAAGCTGAAGCCATATAGGAAGACAACTTGTAGGCAATGGAAAGAACCTTTCTAATGCCCTAAGGAGGAGCATCCACTCCACTGAAACAAGCAGCAAATTAGACAGATTTGTCAGTGCTGGAGAGCCATCAGTCTCCTAAAGTACTTGAATACCAAGGAACCTGGGTTTATCAACACCTGCCCACTCTTGAGATGACAAGCATATGAATATATCAGTCAAGAGCATGAGGACAACACGATGAATATGCAAAATGAACCGAAATTAGATTTACTTCGTATGGTTCTCTGTTGTCAGAAAGGCAAGTGACAAGATGAATCAATTACAGCGCTCACCGCCATTTCAGGTAAAAGAAAACACAGAAGTCTATTTTCACATGTCGAAATGTGTTTATCCTCCAGCGCTGATTTCCAAAGGTTTTATATATACATTTCAAAACACACAGTTCTTTAGACTCACAAGCTACTTAGGAGGGCAATTAAAAACCCATTCATCTGCGAAGAATTAAATAAAAACAGCCAACTCACATCATGCTCACTCCACCCCTTGCAGATTAAAATGCCATTTAAAACATCTGCAAGATTCGAAAGACACAGCTACACCATTTGCCCAGATGGACCATTTCTTTGTTGCGATGTGCTCGTTCTAGATAAACAACCTCCCTACAAAATATTTCTCTCTCCTCTTCCTTGGAATACACAGCATTTCTTACAAAGGAAGAGTCTGACTGCTTGCCAACAAGAAACAAGGGTGAAAGAACTCACAATAGTCCCCAGACTATTGCGGGTTAACCATTTGCACTCATTTCCAAAATAAAATGTCTGGATGCACCCAAACTTCCAAGAAGACCTGGCAGCTGAATTCTTGGCATGGCACCTGCTGATTCACCAAAAGGCACCATGCAGGACATTTTCCTGAGGTCATAATGCACCTCAGTGGTCAAAGGGCCATAATCGTAAGTACACAGTGATCTACTAGAACAGTGATTCTCAACCTGAGAGTCCCCAGGTATTTTGGCCTACAACTCCCAGAAATCCCAGCCAGTTTACCTGCTCTGTTAGGAGCTGGTAAACATAGATGCAGGCGAAACGTCAGGAAAAAATGCCTCTAGAACATGGCCCTATAGCCCGAAAAAACCCACAAGAACCTTCTGTTAGGATTCCTGGAACTTGAAGGTCAAAACATCTGGGGACCCACAGGTTATTTTATTTATCGTGTCATGAGCAACCAGACATTTGTATTACATTTCTAACAGAACAAAACAAACAAACAAACAAAACACAAAGTTTGCAAGCTTGGTAGTTGATTAAATGTCCTTTGACCAGTATCTGGCCACTTGGAGTGCTTCTGGTGTTGCTGCAAGAAGGTCCTCCATTGTGCATGTGGCAGGGCTCAGGTTGCATTGCAGCAGGTGGTCAGTGGTTTGCTCTTCTCCACACTCGCATGTTGTGGATTCCACTTTGTGCCCCCATTTCTGAAGGCTGGCTCTGCATCTCTTGGTGCCAGAGCGCAATCTGTTCAGCGCCTTCCAAATCGCTCTGTTTTCTGTGTTCCCAGGAGGGAATATCTCATTTGGTATCAGCCATTTATTGAGGTTCTGGGTTTGAGCCTGGCACTTTTGGACTCTCGCTTGCTGGGGAGTTCCAGTACACAGTGAGCTACTAGAACAGTGATTCTCAACCTGTGGGTCCCCAGGTGTTTTGGCCTACAACTCACAGAAATCCCAGCCAGTTTACCAGCTCTGTTAGGATTCCTGGGCATTGAAGGCCAAAACATCTGGGGACCCACACTTTGAGAACCACTGTACTAGAATAATGGTCCTCAAACTTGAGACAGATGCAGCCCTGCAATGTCATTTATTTATTTATTTATTTATTTATTTATTTATTTACTGCATTTCTATACCGCCCTTCTCAGCCCGAGGGCAACTCAGGGCGGTTTACAAAACTGGCAGAATTTGATGCCACAATAATATAAACAGTTAAAAGCATATAAACGTCCATAAAATTCCATAAACAATCAAATCAATTTACACTAATATATTTATGCAATGCTTTTGACGCAAAATAAATAAATATTATAAAAGGAACTGTGTCCATAAAGATACCTAGCCCTTTATGTATATAAATAAAAATGTAACGTTAATTTGTGGGATTAACATAACTCAAAAACCACTGGATAAATTGACACCAAATTTGAACACAATACACCTCTCAGGCCAACAAGTGACCATCACTCATAAAACACTGAAAAACACAACAAAAGGCACTTAATAGGCCAAAAAAGCAAAAAGACGCTACAGCGCATGCCCAAAACAACTCCCCCTGGCAAACAAAACACACAATAGCATATCCACACTCTCTTCCGGACTACAGCTCCCAGCACACCAAGACCAGGCCCTTTAGGAGAGGAGGATGCTCCAAATGCACTGCTTCCAAGATGCAAGCTTTCTTCTCCTTGGATCTCTTTGAGAGCATCCCAATCCCGGCATATTTCCAATTTCCTATTCCTGGACTGCAACTCCCAGCAATTCTCCAGATAGATAGATTAGATAGAGATAGATAGGTAGGTGGATAGATCAATCAGGAGGACTGCTGGGAGTTGCAGACCAAGAATAGGTAGAGAAGGAAGAAAGGGGAAAGAAAAAGGGGGGAAGGAAGAAAAGAGGAGGGAAGGAAGGGAGGGAAGAAGAAGAGGAGGGAAAGAAAAGGAAGAGAAAGGGGGAAGGAAGGAAGGAAGGAAGAAGGAAGGAAGGAAGGAGAAGGAAAGGAAGGAAGGAAGGAAGGAAGGGGAGAAAGAGGAAGGGAAAGAAAAGGAAGGGAAGAGGGAGGAAGGAAGGAAGGAAGGAAGGAAGGAAGGAAGGAAGGAAGGAAGGAAGGAAGGAAGGAAGGAAGGAAGGGGAGAAAGAGGAAGGGAAAGAAAAGATGTGGGGGAGGAAGGGAAGAAGAAGAGAAGGAAGGAAGGAAAAAGGGAAGGAAGGAGAGAGAAAGGAAGGAAGAAGAAGGAGAAAGAAGGAAGAAAAGAGAGGAAAAGAAGAAGAAGAAGAAGAAGAAGAAGAAGAAGAAGAGAAGAAAAGAGAAGAAGAAGAAGAAGAAGAGAAGAGAAGAGAAGAAAGAGAAGAGAAGAGAAGAAAGAAGAGAAGAGAAGAGAAGAGAAGAGAAAAGAAGAGAAGAGAAGAGAAGAGAAGGAAGAAAGGAGGAAGGAAGGAAAGAAGGAAGGAAGAAAGGAAGGAAGAAGGAAGGAAGGAAGGAGAAGGAAGGGGGAAGAGGAAGAAGGAGAAGAAGAAAGAAAAGAAAGAAAAGAAAGAAGGAAGGAAGGAAGGAAGGAAGGAAGGAGGAAGGAAGAGAGAAGGAAAGAAAAAAGGAAGGAAGGAAAGAGAGAGAGGAAGGAAGGAAGGAAGGAAGAGAGAGGGAAGTTTGGCCACATCAACGCGTGTTGGGTACAGCTAGTATTCTTATAAATGATGCATATATGGTATGCATAAGGCTAACAAAGACTTAGTTAAAAGTAATGGTACTTTATTCACCATGAGACCTGGATTTCTAAGACAATTTTTGTTGCAACAAAACCTTGCAAATACTAGATGAACACGACTGAGGAGAAAGTTGTTTCTGTCTAAATTTTAATGTATTGCCCATTGATGTGACTCAGCCAAATGACCCCCCCCCCCCCCAATTATTGTTGAACCCTACATTCTGAATGAAAACCACATTAAACAAGTAAGGGAGAGTAATTAGCCTCCTGCTGTGCTTGGTGTCTTACCTGAAAGCAGCGAGTAAAGGAGCATAAATGGAATCACCGTCGTAGACATACAAGTGGTCCCAGCTGCATTCCGTCGCAAAATGATTAAAACGGAGTCTAAGGATTGTGTTCGGCCTGAAAAAAAGAAGGGTTACACATGTTGAATAGACATATTGTTATGGTTCTAAAACACCATCGTAGGCAAGAATAATGCTGGCCTCTGGCATCTGTTCCCATTACACCTCCTGCTTCAGAAACCTGAAATTGAGCTACACTTGTCTCATAACAATGGGGCCACTGTCAGTGTTTGTCTACGAGGAACACTTTTTTTCCCCCTCCGAAGGCTCCATATCATGAAACACCAGGCCCATCTCAACTCCAGAGGATGCAGACTTGGCACAGAGAGGATCAATCTAAAACACAGAGAGAAGCTGCATCCCACCGTCAAACTGATGCCGGCTTCACACAATGCTGATCATCTGAGAAACATTGTCAGAGCAGTCAGGCGGAGGAGCTTTAGCTACGGCTGAACCTTTGCAAACAGTCGGTCAGGAGCCCTGAAGTCAAAATGCAACCCAACATCCACAGGTTTTGTGCCTTGCCTACAAAACAGTTGCCGTATATACTGGGGTATAAGCCGACCCGAATATAAGCCAAGGCACCTAATTTTACCACAAATAACTGGGAAAGCTGGGGATGGGAAATGCAGCAGCTACTGGCCAATTTCAAAATAAACATAATAATGTTTACATTAATTGAGGCATCCGTAGATTAAATGTTTCTGAATCTATATAAATAAAAATGTATTGTTCGTTTGTGGGATTAACATAACTCAAAAACCACTGGACGAACTGACACCAAATTTGGACACAAGACACCTATCAGGCTAACGAGTGACCATCACTCATAAAAACACTGAAAAACACAGCAGACGGGACTTAAAAAGCAAAAAAAAATGTGCAAAACCACATATATACACAAACACACATATACACAAATATACATACACATATACGCATATATACCCACACAAAACACATAGACATAGACTGGGCCACAGCAACTCGTGGCACGAGACAGCTAGTATTTACATAAAACTATAATTTAAGATAAGAGTGTCCGACTCTGATTAAATCATTATTGTGGAGACTGAAAGAGTGTGGCTTCTCTGAAGCTTGCAACTATCTACCTGGGAACCATACTTGGATAATATGGTTCTATCATCATCATCATCATTATCATCATCATTATTATTACTACTATTATTAGGCAGATGCCAGATGTCTATTTGTTGGGAGTGAATCGTTTGTGTCCTTCTCCATGGCAGAAGGGATTGGACTGTATGGCATTTGGGGATCCCTTCTAATTCTAGGATTTTATTTATTTATTTACATTATTCTCTCTCTGAAGGGGACTCAGAGCGGTTTGCAATATATATATACATACAATATATTATATTATTAGAATAGTACAATATCAGTATTAAATATTACTATATTGTACTATACCGTTATATTGTAATATTATTAATAATATTCCATATAACATAAATATATAATTATAATATCATATTATTAGTTTGTTGTTGTTCATTCGTTCAGTCGTTTCCGACTCTTCGTGACCTCATTGACCAGGCCACGCCAGAGCTCCCTGCGGCTGTCACCACCCCCAGCTCCTTCAAGGTCAATCCAGTCACTTCAAGGATGCCATCCATCCATCTTGCCCTTGGTTGGCCCCTCTTCCTTTTTCCTTCCATTTTCCCCAGCATCATTGTCTTCTCTAAGCTTTCCTTTCTTCTCATGACGTGGCCAAAGTACTTCATCTTGGCCTCTACTATCCTTCCCTCCAATGAGCAGTCTTTCCTGGAGGATGGGCTGGTTGGATCTTCTGGCGGTCCAAGGCACTCTCAGAACTTTCCTCCAGCACCACAGTTCAAAAACATCTCTCTTCCTTTGCTCAGCCTTCCTTCTGGTCCAGGTCTCACATCCGTAGGTGACTATGGGGAATACCATTTCTTTAACTATGCAGACCTTTGTTGCCAGTGTGATGTCTCTACTCTTCACTATTTTATCAAGATTGGTCATTGCTCTCCTCCCAAGAAGTAAGCATCTCCTGATTTCCTGGCTGCAGTCTGCGTCTGCAATAATCTTTGCACCTAGAAATACAGTCTATCACAGTCTCCACGTTTTCTCCCTCTATTTGCCAGTTGTCAATTATTCTTGTTGCCATAATCTTGGTTTTTTGATGTTTAACTGCAACCCGGCTTTTGCGCTTTCTTCTTTCACCTTGATTAGAAGGCTCCTCAGCTCCTTCTATAGGATAGAATAGGGAAAAAAAGCACTTTTATCCAGTCTGTGAGTGAGAAAAGATCTTTGAACACCAAAGACATGCCTTCAAGTAGAATGAATCCACAACAAGGCTGCAGTTTTCTTTCAGTCATTCACATTGGAATGACTGACTGAGGAGGGAGAGAGGCACACACGGACTCCCTGATGTTTTGTCGGGCACGCATGCACCTCCCACTATATCTTGCCATGTGGACTCCCTCCTCGTGGAGGTGTGTGCAGCGAGACAAGCAGGGAGGTGTGCGTGCGGCGAAAGGAAGAGGCCTCCCCTTTCGTCTCACCTTGCAAACTCCCACGAGGAGATGAGCACGCGCATGGCAAGACATGGAGCGAGTTTGCTGATCAATGGCCGTAGGAGCTCTTCTAAGTTTTAGATAGGGCTCTTTCTTAGGCCTACAAAGGATCTCTGGCAGTATTCCATGGTAGCCTCCCATCCAAAGACTAAATAAGGCTTGCACATATCCCAAAACATTGTTAGCCTACACGGCCTCACAATAGCACAAAGACATCTCCATAACATACATGAAGCTGCTGGCTACTGTTGGGAATCAGCCTGTGTTTGTGTTCCAGGATGATCATGATGTTTCTGATGTGGGCAATGATGTGAGAAATGATGAGGGAAATGATGGTTCCGAGGCTGAGGTGCAAGATGGAGATGGTTTGGTCAATGATCTTCTTGCAGACAATGACAGAGAGGCCCCAGTGCAAAGGGCAGTTTCTCATGAGAATATTCCTGCTGGGGTTAAGGATGATGGTTTACTCCCTCTCTCCGTGAGCTCTCAAGATTTGGGTTAGGAAAACAATCTGACACCTGGGAATTTTAATGAGCAGCCAGAAAGGGAGTTGAAAAACAGGTGGCTGGAGTTCAGCCACGACCGACAACAAACTCAAGGTTTACGTGGCTCCCAAAGGCTTCATCAGATAAGAGCCAAGGGTTGGGGAAAACAAAACCAGTTTCTGGGTTTTGGAATATAAGTTTTGCTTCAAGGGAAAACCTGTTAGATCAGGCATCATTTGGAAATCAAGTTCATGTGCCGTGGAAATCCTGTTTAAGGGGTCTTGTTCTTGTGGATACTTCTAGCCTTTTGGTGTTGATTAGCAGCGTTTGGATTGTCTTTGCATCCTGTTGATTCCTATTTGGATAAATACTGCCTTGGATTGCTTTTATATCTTTTGTGGACATTGCTTTGAGTTACTGCATTTTGCTGACTTTTTACTTTTTGGAACTTTCCTATTTTCTTACAAGCATTTCTTTCTACTGGCTATTTTACTAAGCTTCAATAAAAAGGATTTGTTTTTTCACTCAACGTGTGGTGTGTTTTAAAATCAGAGGGCTTTTTCCTGTCCTGGAGTGCAACAGCTACTTCAGAAAGTGATGTAGTGAAACTGATCATTTACATCCAGTTCCTTCCGATCAAGAAATGAAACAAACAATCGCCTTAAAGAGTTACTTCCTTGACTCCTATGGCCACAACTTCCTAGAGCAGTAGTGCCCAACCTGTGGTCCATGGATTACCAGTGGTCCACAAGAACTAAAATATGGTTCACGGCCTCACCGTTACTACATCATTGCAACGAGAGCAAGTGGTCTCACAAAACCTTCTTATACTGCTGAGGCTTATTAAATATGGTTTTCTCTGGGTGAGCAGATGGCGACTACTGGATGGTGTATGTTCTGTATCAGAAACTAGAGCTGATGTGGTCTATCAAATGCAATTTTCTGAATCAGCACCCCAAATAACCAAACCGAATCTAAAGTTGATCAAAAACTGATTCGTAACCCTTTTGGTACTAATGTTGGAACATGGTCCCTGGTCAAAGTGGTTCCTGGTCAAGTGATCCCTGGCCAAAAAAAGATTGGGTTATCACTGTCCTAGAGGATTCTGGAACCTGGAAATGTAACTTTTCTGAGCACTGCCAATGAGATGTTTCTAAAAGAACGATGCATCCAAAACACATCAACGCAGCTAACAACACAGAGAATGGTCTTGTGAGTGAAGTTTGCTGCTCTTCTGAGCAAAATCCTGTAAGGAAATGTCAATAGTATATAAACAATATGTTGTGTCACAACCCTCTCGTGACTCGTCTAACCCATACGCACAGGCACAAATGCACTATTCTGGGCCTTTATAATGCAGGTTGTGTTTGCTATAATTCAGCATAAAAGCTCCTACAAAGAATCACAACTAAATATAGGCATAAGCCCCCCTCAGGAGGTTGGATAGTAAGGCTTGCCATTCTTTGAAAAGAAATCCCTTAGCAGAAATAGCTGCAGGAGATTAAATACCAGCGCAGTTCACAAAAGCTCCACTTCACAGCTTGAACAACCCTTCCTAAAAGGTCAACGTTTTCTTTGAAGGCTCGTCTGAGAAAATGTGAATCTGGGACAACATCAGAGAAGCCCAAGGTTTCTTTGGGGAAACTGACTTTTCATGCACATAAGGAAACTGTGTGAAGTCCAAACTCTCTCTCTCTCTTGCCTCTGGCACATGAAAACCGGACAGCGAAATTGTGACGCAGAAGGTGAAGATCTGAGGAGAGTGGGAGACTGATCTTTCCGCTTGTCTTTTCACAACTGAGGGACCGGAGACGCCAAGAATACTCATGGACAAAGGACAATGATCAGGGAGTAGGTCCACCACAATCTCAGTTTTTAGAAAAGCCATCCAGATTGTCACAATTATGACAATGGTCACTGGAAGGTCTTACTGTTCAGGTCTTTTTATGTCTCTGCTCATGTTCAGCCAAAACCTATGGAAGGACCTGCTAGGGAGATTTAAACCCCTCTGCACTATTCCCTATGGCCATTGAATTATTAGTTGTATTGTATTGTCGAAGGCTTTCATGGCTGGAATCACTGGGTTCTTGTAGGTTTTTTCGAGCTATATGGCAATGGTCTAGAGGCATTCTCTCCTGATGTTTCGCCTGCATCTATGGCAAGCATCCTCAGAGGTAGTGAGGTCTGTTGGAACTAGGAAAAAGGGTCTATATATCTATGGAATGACCAGGATAAGACAAAGGACTCTTGTGTGCTGGAGCTAGGTGTGAATGTTTCAACTGACCACCTTGATTGCAAGAGCATTTTATTTGAGAACACAGAAATGCTGGACCACTCTCACAACCACCATGTCAGACTACACAGACAAGCCATTGAAATACACAAGCATGTGGACAATTTCAACAGAAAGGAGGAAACCATGAAAATGAACAAAATCTGGCTACCAGTATTAAAAAAACTCTAAAATTACAAGAGCACAACATCAGAGAGGAAACAAACAAGGACATCTAATCACCTCTCAACAAAAGTTTGCTCCAGGCACTGTCAGGCCATTATATGCTAATCAAGGTGGTCAGTTGAAACATTCACATCTAGCTCCAGCAGACAAGAGTCCTTTGTCCTACCCTGGTCATTCCACAGATGTATAAACCCATTGTCCTAGTTCCAACAGACCTCACTACCTCTGAGGATGCTTGCCACAGATGCAGGTGAAACGTCAGGAGAGAATGCCTCTAGACCATGGCCATATAGCACGAAAAAACCTACAACAACCCAGTGATTTCGGCCATGAAAGCCTTCGACAATACATCCTTGAAGTGACTGGATTGACCTTGAAGGAGCTGGGGGTGGTGACGGCCAACAGGGAGCTCTGGCGTGGACTGGTCCATGAAGTCACGAAGAGTCGGAAGCGACTGAACGAATGAACAACAAAGTCCACCAACATGTGATGTATGTATTAGGTAAGATTTCATGGACCATCAAACAGCACTACAAGTATCTTCATTAGAATGATTCATGAGTAAAGCATTTCCAATTTAGAAACAGTGCTCCTGCCCACCTTGTACACATTTATATTTGAAGCGATGAACGCTATGAAAAGGTCTACAATCTTTGACAGTACAAAAGCAAAACAATCTCAGGTCCAGTAGAAACGTGGATTTGTTACTCACCTTCCCTCAATGAGCCAGGTGCATTTTGTCTTGTATTTATAGTTCCCAGGTCCATCGGTCACGTAGCCTGAAGGCCCAGTAAGCCTGCGAAAAGAAACTAAACATGTAGCATCCGGTCATGGTTTCATAAGTGCTTTTCCAAGGCCATCCCAAAGACAAGCAAAATTAAAACGCCCAATATCATGCTGCCATTATACACTTCTATTGTATTGAGCGAGAATTTTTCTCAAGATTACAGTGGTCTACCAGGTCTAGATTGATCCTCTTGATTACAGAGTAAGACAATCTCTCAAATTGTTGTGTACCATGAATCTGGTACAGAAGCTGTACATTGGCAACCAGCGCATCCCTTTCATCACAGCCTTTGAATGCTTATGCAGGCACCCAGACACTTTTAGGAGCAAGAATTAAATATGTAGCATGAGTCAACTGCCTTCATTTTTTTAAGATACTGAATAAATCACAGAATGGACTGCTTCACCAGGGCCGATCACCCAGTTTGTGTACTTAAAGGTTGGTTGTTTTACATTTTTTAATTGAAAAAATTATAAACTGAAATATTAATATTATATGTTCGTTTGTGGGATTAACAGAACTCAAAAACTACTGGACGCACTGACACCAAATTTGGACACAAGGCACCTAACAACCCAATGTATGTCCTTCACTCAAAAAAAATGATTTTGTCATTTGGGAGTTGTAGTTGCTGGGATTTATAGTTCACCTACAATCAAAGAGCATTCTGAACTCCACCAAGGATGGAATTGAGCCAAACATGGCACACAGGACTCCCTTGACCAACAGAAAACACTAGAAGGGTTTGGTGGGCATTGACCTTGAGTTTGGGAGTTGTAGTTCACCTACATCCAGAGAGCATTGTGAACTCAAACAATGATGGATCTGGACCAAACTTTGCACGGACACTTCATATGCCCAAATATGAACACTGTTGGAGTTTGGGAAAATATACCTTGACATTTGGGAGTTGTAGTTACTGGGATTTATAGTTCACCTACAATTAAAGAGCATGCTGAACTCCATCAATGACAGAACTGGGGCAAACTTCCCACACAGAATCCCCATACTTAGGCCACCCAGTCCAACTCCCTTCACCAGGGCAAGAAAAAGTAATCAGAGCCCTCCTGACAAAGAACCATCCAGCCATAGATATAGATAGATAGATAGATAGATAGATAGATAGATAGATAGATATGATTCACACACAAACCCTGATATAGTATCATAGATTTGAAATGCTTGAAAGTGTTTTGGAATTTTTTTTTCAGATTTTTGAAAACCTGCTTTTGCATATACATACAGACTAAAATATCTTGGAGCTGGGAACCAAGTGTAAGCATGAAGTTCATCTATGTTTCACACACATACACACATTATGCAATATTGTTAATAAGTATGTGCATCAAACAAAGTTTCTGCACTGTGAACCATCGGAAAGCAAAAGTGTCACTACCTCAGCCACTCATTTTTGGATTTCGGAGTTCCGGATATAGAATACTTATTCAGGAAATAAATAACAAAACAGAAGATAAATATGCAAGCCACTCATAGAATCATAGAAACAGAGAGATGGAAGAGACCTTATGGGCCATCCAGTCCAACCCCATTCTGCCAAGAAGCAGGAATATTGAATTCAAAGCACCTTGATTAGCATTTGATTGCCTGGCAGTGCCTTTTTGTTGAACAAAATCTGGCTACCAGTATTAAAAAAACTCTAAAATTAGAACAGCACAACAACAGAGAGGAAACAAACAAGGACATCTAATCACCTCTCAACAAAAGATTGCTCCAGGCACTGCCAGGCCGTCAAATGCTAATCAAGGTGGTCAGTTGAAACATTCACACCTAGCTCCAGCAGACAAAAGTCCTTTGTCCCACCCTGGTCATTCCACAGATATATAAACCCTTTTTCCTAGTTCCAACAGACCTCACTACCTCTGAGGATGCTTGCCATAGATGCAGGTGAAATGTCAGGAGAAATGCCTCTAGAACATGGCCATATAGCCCGAAAAAACCTACAACAACCCAGTAATTCCGGCCATGAAAGCCTTCGACAATACATTGAACAATTTTCCTGCTTCTTGGTACCAAATTATAGTACCAAAGAGGCAAGTCTGGATGGCTCATGAGGTCTCTTCCAACTCTATGATTCTATTGTAGGCTTTAAATTGCATTGTTTTTAAATGTTGCGGACCACTTGGGATCTTGGCCAAGTGAGAAAAGCAGGGCGACGATGATGCTGCTGATACTTTTAGGTTTGAATAATTCTATACAAGTGACTACAGAATGACAAGCGAAATGTTCGTATCAATATTATTCATTACAGGTCGCTGCCCCGATTCAAATTTTTAGCTGCGACGGAAGACAGCAAATGTTCAAGCGCTGTGAAACAATCCAGAATACAAATGCCAATTACTAAATACAGATTCAGAGCCCTAATTTGGTCTTGTTTTCTCTAAGCACTGACCTTTCAAGAAGACTACAGGTCTGTGAATCTAAATGTGCAAAGAGCACCTGCGTTATCAATTCCGCTGGCAGCCCGATGGTAATTGATAGCAAACAGACAGACTTTGGAAGCACAAACAAGCCTTATCTGAGCAGGAAGAGATCTTGGACCATCTCTCTCTCCTCTCAAACAACTTTACAAAAGAAAGTGCTACAACTGGTGCACGCCAAAAACAATTATTGCTAGCTTCACAACATAAACAGTAGTGCAGAATATTGCCAGCATTGCCAGTGAAACCCAAAGGGAAGAACTTATATGTATACACACACACACTAGCTGTACCCGACACACATTGCTGTGGCCAACCTTCCCTCCCTCTTTCTCTCCTTCTTTCTTTCTTTTTCCTCCCTACCCTTTTCTTCTTCCTTCTCTTCCTCTTCCCTTCCTCCCCTTTTCTTTCCTCTTTCTCACCTTTCTTCCTTCTCTACCTATTCTTGGACTGCAACTCCCAGCAGTCCTCCTGATCAATATATCTACCTACCTATCTCTCTATATCCAATCTATCTACCTTATCTATCTGGTGGATTGCTGAGAGTTGCAGTCCAGGAATACGAAATTGGAAATATGCAGAGATTGGGATGCTCTCAAAGAAATCCTAGGAGAAGAAAGCTTGCAGCTTGGAAGCAGTGCATTTGGATCATCCTCCTCTCCTAAAGAGTCTGGTCTAGGGGATGCTGGGAGCTGTAGTCCAGAAGAGAGTGTGAATATGCTATTGTGTGTGTTGTTTGCCGGGAGAGTCATTTTTGCACATGCGCTGTAGCATCTTTTTGCTTTGTTGGCTTTTTAAGTCCCTTATGCTGTGTTTTTCAGTGCTTTTATGAGTGATGGTCACTTGATGGTCTGAGAGGTGTATTGTGTCCAATTTTGGTGTCAATTCATCCAGTGGTTTTTGAGTTATGTTAATCCCACAAATGAACATTACATTTATATATATATATACACACACACACACACACACACACACACACACATACACATATACATACACACTAGCCGTCCCCTGCCACGTGTTGCTGTGACCCAGTCTGTGTATATGTGTTTTGTATGTGTATATATATGGTTTTGTGCATCTCATGATTCCATAACACCAAACCATGACAGTTCAAGTGGTATCCAACTGCATTAATTATACAGTGTAGATGCACCCTAAGTCCTGTAGGCCCAAGGTTGGAACAGGATATGGCAGTACACTTCCTATGACTCAGTTTCCATGGTTTTATAGAATACACAGAGATTGTATATACATACACACACACACACACTAGCTGTACCCGCTAAAAAGATGTTTTATACTTTATTGTTATGTTGTTTATTTTACTGCAATTTGTATTTTTGTATTGTTATTTGTTGTTCGGGCTTGGCCCTATGTAAGCCGCTCCGAGTCCGCATTGGGGGAGATGGTGGCGGGGTATAAATAAAGTTTTTGATTATCATTATTATCATTATTATCATTATTATCATCATTATTATTATTATTATTATTGTCTTCTCAGCAGACCAGGAACTAAAACCAAATAACTGAAGTATAGCCCAAACTTTCCACAACTGTGGTTATAGTTTGTGGATCATAACAATAAACCTGTCATTTATGTTCAGACTATTTGGTCAGTGGGTAAATTTCTGCACAGTGGATTACACATTCAAAATCATGCTAAGAGATATGCAAAGCCAAAAAATGTTCAAACGCAACAAGATACAATTATAGTACCAAAGAGGCAAGCTAAGCCCTAATTCTGCAGCAGACAAAATACTGAGCGGTCCGTCTTGCAACCCACAAAAATCTCAAGCACAAGGACTGCTCAGATACATAAACCGATGATAAACAATGAGATCTGAAATTGCCAGGAAAGTGAATAGGACAAACAATGCTTATCGTGCTGCACTAGATGCGACAGACTAATATCTATGTGTAGTCACTGATAAATAATGAAGGAGAAACATATTACATTCCAGATTGTTTTAAGCCAAAAGATATTCCCATGACTGACACAGAAATTACATATTTTCACAGGATACTGAATGTTCAATTGCTTTTTTACTGCAGAGATTAAACGTTCTCAATGAAGAATGAATTACAGCAACTGTCAACCAGAAGTATTGCACAATGTATGATAATGACCGTTTTTAACATCTTACAGGCTAACATTGGTTTCGAGAATAAACCTCCCTCTCCGTTTCCAGTACTACTAGGTTAAATTTCAATTCCAGATATAAATTCAAAACCAATTCTAGAGTCCATGAACCATTTGCCTCTCTAACGACTGCTTCTCTCTCAACAAATAGCTCCAACCAGCACTTCTACACAACCACAAACAATAATATTACTGTTGTGGGCAATCATATGGAAGAGAAGCTTTGGGTGTGATTCAAAAACATATTCCAACAGGATGCCAACTCATGTCAAGAGTGCCTTATAACTATCTCTCCACATTAGTCCTGGGCTTTAAAATAACACTGTTGTTAGACATGGACACAGACAAAGAATCATAGGATTGAAAGGGATCTCTTGGCCCATAAAACCCAACGCCACGCACAGCAAAGGATCTCCAGTTAAAATGGC